TCGTAGCAACTGGACTTGCTTGCATTTCTTGAAGACGTTTCACCTCTCATCCAAGAGGCTTCACCAGTTCTGATTGACTAGTTGGGAGTTCCAGATACTTATATCCTTAAGGAGCCCTGTGATTAACTTATACCATAACTGCATCCTCCTTCTCTGAATCTGTAATTTGTCATTCTTTATTCTACCACATTTGCCGAAAACTCATTGGTATGTGTTGTTTTGTTAGTCGCTGAGATGTGTCGCATCAGTGATGACATTCTACTGACTGAGTGAATGGCTGGGCTCACACAATGGTAGAGCTAAATAAAAAAATAAAGGTCAAGAAACACCAACTCTTGTTTCTTTCAATCTTTCCTCCAAATACAGTTTGTGCTGGCTAAAACACTGTATCTTTTACAACCTGTCTGATCTCTCATTCTTGCCTTATCTGACTTTGTTGTCGCATGTTTGCACGTCTCAGCAGTACACTGTGATCATTAGTGAAGAAAAAAACGTGTCCAAAACTGTAAAGATAGGAAGATGCAACAAACTGCGGTTTTCTTTTTAAGCTACAAGTCTCTGTGTTCCTAATGTTAGTGTATAACATAGTAAAAAAAAAAAACCTGCTGGTGTAAACTACAGCTCATCATAGCATAGCAAGCCTGTGGCAGCCTGAGGGCTGAGTCTGTGTTTGCTTTCTTTTAGCCCAATCTCATATGCTCTTTATCTCTCTCTTCTGCTGCAGGCGCCGTCTGCACACACACAACTCCTTGTGTGACTGCAGCAGGCAGAATCCATGTGTTTGCTTTGCTTCATCTTAAACCTGAAGCAAAAGAAAAGCTAGCGAGCAGGGATGCAGCTGCTCACGTTGGTCATTATTTTTTTAACCCTCACTCATCTAGCATCTAACGTTTTCTGTATTGCAGTTCATGTTCTTTTAGTAACAGATGTTCAACCTGGAAGCTGCACCCTACTACCTCAGTGTGCTCTTAAGATCCTTTACTGAATTATCTCTAAACTGAGCTCAGATTTGGTGCAGCGGGTTTTAAAATTCTCTTTAATCATGCTCACATTAGGAAAAGGAAGACTCGTTACCAGTTTTATTGCAGACTTCAGTCATCATTAACACTGAAGATTGACATCACTGGATATTAGAACGTACAAAGAACCACCATCTTTGCAAATTGAACCTTTTTCTTTCACATTGTGCCACATTGTTATATTTAAGCCTTATTGACAGTTTTATAATAACGTCACCTTTAGGATCATGTGTTGCTTGGTGGCATCTATTGACGACATCAATTTCAATGACTTATTCATAATGTAATATAGCTATTATTCAATTCATACTTCACTGCATTAGATTGTGTAGCATCCCCGGCTGAATGATGGTCGTAGGCTTTGACTGATGGTTCTTGGTGCTTTATTTCAGTGAACCTTATTCACTCATGAACTCACCGTAAGAGCTACAAATGAAAACAAACAAAAACATTACAATCTCCTTTTAGACCAATGAACTTACTAAATCATAGCCCCTTGATAATTTATACAAACCCAAATGATGTAATTTCAAGCTATTATAATCCAAGTGCAATCATAGAAATCACACCTTTATGACGCATTTTAATCCACTGACAATCTCAAATAAAGAGCTATATGTGATCGGTTTTAACTTAAATTATGATTTTAACAAATCACTTTTGTATCAAATAAGCAGCTTTAACACACAAATGCTATCAAAGAAAATACAAGGCACACAATTACATTCTTTAGAGAAATAAACAGACTTATGAATTAACCACGGACCGACGAAGTAGCTTAGCCAATGTTGATTAGCATGTACGCTAGCAAAACACGTCGTAGCAAAAACACCTTCAAGATTACACAAGACGCCACAACTTGAACTCTGAGCTAAACCTTACATTAAACTAAATGATCACAAACCTTGTGCCATATCAGCCAGGAGCTAAATAAACATAACAATCACTTTCTTCTCACTCCTTGGACGTCGTCTTCTACACACCGGCGCACTTTCATATACCGACACAGCGCTAAACTTCTGGCAGTTCTTTCGAGCGAGGCGCTTTCAAAACAAAAGCTCAGAATCTGACGGCTGGTATAATTCAATAAACAATAACATGACCTTAACAAATGCTCAAAAAATGAACAAGTAAACACAAAAACAACATGTCTATAGAAATATTATGTTCATACTAAAGGTCATTTACAGATTGAGTTCAATGTACAACACAGGGCTTTGACAAAGTCATTTAAAAATTAGAAATAGTTTTGATTCCAATTTCTGTAAGTACTCAGAATACATGTGAAATTATTCATTACGCAGCTAAACTGACTGCTACAGTTACGGTTTTGTAGATGCAGAGATAAACAACTCGCTCACTGCTGCTCTATGTTTGGTCTCAGAAGCCCAAAATAATTTTCTTTGAATCGGAGCTGAACTTTTGTCACATGCCTCAGCTGGTATATATCTCCTCTGCATATTTGTACTTTTAATGTTCCCTCTCTTCTTGGCTCTGACGATCTTTCATCCTTATCTGACTTTCTCTCATTTGCTTATGAAAAGGAACAAAATTTAAAAGCCTCTGCCTTCACCCTACAATTTAGCCAAAATCAGTTTGAATTCTGACAAAATCATTCCAAAGGAAATAACCAATTACTCCCTTGATGGGGCCTCTGATTTACAATTTAAATAGCTTTGGTGCATTGGCACAGTTACTAACACACCAGGCAGCAATACTGCATCTCTTTCTCTGGATAGGCTAGACTCTGGCAGTGACTCAAAACTGCATGAAAAGCAAGTGCAAAAGAGCAGATAAGCACACTATCAACACTTGTTGTGGCACATTTGTAAGACAAGGGTCATAGAGAGGCTCAGGCCAAAAAGCAGCATGAAAGAAGGAAACACCACGAGACAGAAGGAAGCTGGCAGAGCAGACATCAATTACGGGAATGAAATGCTAAACTGCGCCAACCCTCTCTAAAAGTTTGAGAAATTAAATTCCTTATCAAGGCCTCTGTGTGCTTCCATTACAGCAGCTACTTTGGCCAGACTAGTTTAAAAGCCCACACGTCAATTTTATTAAGAAACAGCAGCAATCAGACACATCTTGTCAGGATGCAAAAATAGCCCAAGGACAATACACGTGGAAGCCGAACCACACGGGGCACATGCAGCGAGGAATCACAGACTCACAGAGTCAGATGAAGTGGGACAGCCTGGCGGGAAAACCAGCCTCTGTGTCAGTGTGAAAAAGAAGATCGCTTCACCGGTGAAGACCCCCGAGTGCAAACAGCCGAGGGCCTAAAGTGGTGAACGCAGCCCAAGACTTTGCGGGACTTCTTTTAATTAGCAACACGAGATCTGAGTTTTTGGTTGTGGCCAAGATTTAGGTCTTTTTCTGCTTTCATGAGCTGTGTGAGCTTTCACACAGTCTGCTGCAACTTCTGTATGAGCTTTAGTATAGATCTCACTCATTAGTGGAGTAATGTAAACGGCATCTTATCACAATGCCTCAGCTGACTGGTCATTGTAGATGCCCCTGACCTGTGGGCAACTGTAGAGTCACATCTGTGTGTCTGTCTGTCTGTGTGTCTGTGAACAGTGTCTGGCTCGAGTGCTAAGGTCTAACAAGTTGAAATTTTACAGGTGAGCTGGGAATGGCCTCTGCTCAGAATGACTACATTTTGGGGTTAATCAGTGCAAAAATAGCTCCACAAGAGGTCAAAGGTCACGTTTTCAAAAGTGTGGTATCATGGCCCACAGGGGCAACTATATCCCTCTGCCGTGGGCCCTCTAGTTTGACGAATTTCTTTGACTTTGAAGCATCTGAGACAAACCAAAATAGATAAAAAGAATAACAGTTGGTGGTTTTTTTTTTATCACACAAAACGATATAAAAGCTTTCTGAGCTTAAATTTTCTGTTTGCTGATGCAACGTGAAACATCATATCTCTCGCTGCACTCACCTGCTGTGAACTCTTCCACTCACTCTCACCCTTTTGTTGAAATGATGAAAGTCCAGTGGATGCAAACTGAGAGCTAAGCACGCTCTCTTTAGACGTGAAATGTTAAACTGGTGAACTTTTGTCCACATTCTCACTGCTCCATTTTTGTGCAGCTTCTCTAGCATATTCTCATTTTACTATCCCTCCCCTTCTCTTACTCCATCCCTCTTGCCTTTATCTCCTCATCCTCACTTTCCCATCCCATTTCCAGCCTCTCCCTCCACACACACACACACACACACACACACACACACATTCAGACCCTGATGCCGACTCTATTCATTCTGTGGAACCAGGAAGTGACTCAGAGCCTGGGATCTTGGAATGTGTCCCCCAGTCAGAGATGAGACACTGCAGAAGGAGCCTGGACCAAACTCTGCAGAGCCTCCCCCGGTTTTTTTTTTTTTTTTTTTTGTGTCGGTGTGAAAAAGAAGATCCCCAAACACCAACGAACCGAGGGTTTAAAGCGACAGCCCTAACATCGATTTCATAACTTTAATCTCTGAGCAAAATTGTATCTGAGTTTGTGGTTATGGCCAAGATTTATGTCTTAGTTTCCTACTTTTATGAGCTGCATCATCTGTTCCGTCTTCAAAGCTGTTTTGATGGATGTTTTTAAAAATGTTTCATCAGTGGTGATGCTTTTAACTTTAAAGATGCTGCTACAGAGCTCAGGCACAAATCAGAGCTCTGTATCTGCACTCTGCTGGCAGGGGTGGAGTTTTTGTTGTTGTTCTTTCTTTCTTTCTTTCTTGAGATGCTTCAAAACAGCTAAAACCCACTTTCAGAACTTTATGCACTGCATGTGTTTTTTTTCCAGTTGGATTGTTTAAATAGACTTGTGCTATTGTCTCCTATTTTTTAAAAACTGGAATAGGTTTTTCCTTAACAGAATGCAATTGTGCTGTTATCCAACATCACTGTACATGTTCATGTAAGTGATGCTTTCCTCTTCCAACAGCTGTAATCATCACCGGTTCCAATTGGCTACAGCCAGAGGAAGGTGTGGTCTGGACGGGCGATGCTGCATCCTTTGTTAAACCTGCAGTTTAATGTTGAATAGTGAATCGTCAAGACGCGGAATCAGTTTACGATCGATACAGACGTTGTGAACAAAATCTTAGTTCTTGATAAAACTGTAAATGTTGTCGGGATTTGCTTCCACGTTGTTTTTTCTTTGATTTCCACCTGTAGCAGGAATGAGGACGTGACCAGCCTGCTCAAAGGAGTGAAGTGAAAGCTGTGATCGAACTTGGATTGAACTCCGATTGAAGTTTAGAAGAAGAGAAGCACAAATGAAGCAGTGCTAAGGATCCACACTGTTGATTCGACCAAACAGCGAGACGCGCCCGCTTTCCTCCTGACCATGTTCACTGGCACCATGCGCTCCTCGCCGTAAGCCGCTGCTGTGGAGGATCCGCACATTATGAGACGCCATGGCATGGTGTGACCGAGGGGTTCAGACTCTGCTGGCCATCGTGGGAGCCTTCGCCGCCTTCAGCCTCATGACCATCGCCATCGGCACCGACTACTGGCTTTACTCCCGGGCGTACATCTGCAACGCCACGAATGTCACCGCCGACGAAACCCAGATGCAAACCAAGAAAGTCAAAGGCGACCTGACGCACTCCGGGCTGTGGAGAATCTGCTGTATCGAAGGTACAAAAAACAAAGTCTAATAGTCGGTATTTGCAAGTTTGCAAACTTTTCTATATGACGAGAGCGCACGAGCATTTGTTGATCCAGCTGATGTTTGTTTGCTTGTTTGCTTTACGCGTAGCGGTGCCAATGCATGCAGTGAGGTTGAGTTGAATAAACACCGATAAATCTATAAAAACACCAGAAACCTCACCTGTTTCTGTAAAAAGTGCACAAGCATGTGCAACAAATGTATGGCAGCGTTTGTGCTTTTAGGACACACCGATAATAGAAACGTGGTTCAACGTCATTGCCAGGTGTTTTTCTGTCGTTTAATGTAATCGAATGTAATTGCCTTCACTAGGTTGGGAGATCGTTTTTTTTCTATGAGAAAAAATGGATGGAAACGGCTCCGTGTTGCGCGTAAAGGCGCTGTTTTGTGTGCGTAATGAGTGCATCCTTTTAAATTATTCAGTCTCTCAGAAAGGACAAGCCCGTCATGTCATGCCATGAATTAAACGCAATAACCCCTGAATGTTCTACGTTTTAATTTAATTTGCTTAAGCAGCAATGATTTAAGGATTGGTCCCCAATGTTCCCATCAGTGTACCAGCTCGGAAAGTTCCTCCACTAAATTGGACTGTAATAAGTTTTAGCTACAGAAGATGCCTGTTTTCGCAAGAGGACTGACTTGTTGGTTCTGGAGATTTCGGTCGTTTTCTCAGCTGTTCTACAGCTCGCACGTAATCCCCAACACAAACACGCCTAAGGGAGTCTGGGGTTGGGCTTCCTACGCTGGGAGAACAGGCCGGTGTTGTTTGGACACGGCTGCACACGATTGCGCGCGACTGCTTCATCGGAAAGAAGCCAAATCGATGAAATCAATCAGTTGATCCGTGAAAGGAGTCATCGGTGACGTGTTTCATCACCCCTGTCTGCTGTGGAGCTGTTCACCTCTGTTGGTGCTGAAATCCTCACCCTGGGTGTTGCTGACTAATGACTGTAAATGCATGAATAACTTTACAAAACAGGTCGGACACAGAAGGCAAATTGTGCCACAGTTTATCCCGGAAATAACCAGTTGCTGACTTGTAGTAGTGTCTTTAAAAAAAAAAAAAAGCCTCTACACAGAAGGTTTCTGCAGGTTTTTATTCCACCTTTTTCTCACTTGCCCACAGGCCAAACCTCTGCATGTTTATACAGGCTCATTCATGTTTTACAGCCAAACAGATGTTGCAGTTGCAGCCACAAATCCAGCAGTTTGTTTCATACTGCAAATGCATTTGGCAGATTACAGTCATGTCAAATAAGAATTGCACAACAGAGGAAAGAAAACATGAAAGAAAGTAATTATGGCTTTAATTTTCTGGATGATCAGAAGAAAATGTGTCAGAAGTGAGAGAGAAATAGTTTGAATCCCCAAACTATGGAGCATTCAGATGTATTCACAGCTATGGGAGCGTGTTTAAGAAGGAAGCTTGCGTCTCCTGTGTTTCCATGTGACTTGAATGTAGCGTCTCTGCAGACATGTAGAGCGAGCTGACAGCGTTGTGGTTCAAGTGGAGAGGAGGCTGTTTCTGTCTTGCATGCTGATGAAGACAGCGCATCGTAGAACTCACACTCCAGGCGCTAACTCCATACTGTTACTACTTTCACGTGAAAATCGCATTGCTATTTTTAGATTTCCTGTACAGTTAATCAAAAGGCATGTTCGCTCCCTTCTTAGGGGACTTCAGCAGGAGTGCACATTGCTCCCAACATCCTGTCACTCCCTGCTCGTATTGTTGGAAGGATGTTACCTATAGAAAAGTTTCACACATTGACTTACTCTAAGTCTCTTTCTCTCATGACGTCAGTAGTTTTTGCTGCACTATGGTGAGAATCGAGCTAAATGGGCTCTAGTGGAACACCTGTAGCTGTGACCACGACCTTAGTTTGGTCAAAAGGCTCTTATCTCCAATCACAGTCATTCAGTCTAGCACCC